TATAAGTAGTTTTAAACCTTGTGATCCACAAAACAGCATAACAGTAAAAGAAGAACTGACTGCGTTACAGTCAGTGCGGGAGCAGCGGCTTCGCTCATGCGCGATTCATTTGCCGTTTGGACGAACAGGTGTGAACGTCTCCTGCCCTGATAGCAGCTGGGGTAGAACTATCCTCCACCCGTGAGCGCTTTGGCACGGGTGAGGTGCCCACGGCAGCACCGCTGCTTGTTGAGAGTAAGAGCGATATGCGTTTTCACGTCAAAAAGTCGTCATAAATAAGTCTCCAATAATACCAGAAAAAGTCGCCAGATTTGTCGCTAGTCGCTTTTTAGAAAAAGAGTCGCTAAGGGGGTCTGAAATCTCGCTAAATATAGCGACAAAGTCGCTAAGTTGGCAACACTGAGCATCACACGGCACAGCTTCTGTATCACGTGGTATAAGGCTTCGCCCTTGTCATTTGTTGAGCAGGAAGAGTGAGCGCTTGTTTTCATGCAGATTACGTCCCGGATCAAAATGCGGTACAATCGTCGCCTTTTTTTTATTTTTATTTTTTTAAATCGTTGTCAGTTGGAAATGAGATCGCACATAAGTATGAATTGAGATCGCGATTTTCTAACGATTAATCGTGCAGCCCTACCACCAGTGCTACCCCTCAACCTCCTAGTAAATTTGGAAAATACTAGGTTATTTTAAGCAAACCTGACCTCTGAGCTTGAGGTCGAGGTCACTGAGATTTTAATTCATCCAAGATTTAGATACTAGATGTATCAATGCTATCAATTTCAAAATCCTATATCACTTTGTTCTCGAGTTCTGGATGGCATTTCCTCTGCCTCCAGAGGCCATTTTTAACCAGCAGCATATGTCCTTCAATGCACATCCATAAACAAATATGTAGGACTGCTTCCATTTGTGCAATATCTCTAAAATTAGAACTATCCTGTCTCAGAGTGACGCTGAAAACCTAGTTCAGGCATTAATTATTTTAAGGCTTCCTTTTAAAAGGGAGTTTTTCCTTCCCACTGTCACCAAAGTGCTTGCTCATAGGGGATCATATGATTGTTGAGGGGTTTTCTCTGTATGGATTATTGTAGTGCCTACCTGACAATATAAAGCACCTTGAGGCAACTGATTTTGTGATTTGGTGCTGTATAAATAAAACTGAATTGAACTGAGTTATCACATTCACAAACCTGGGTGTCCTGCCTGGCGGAGTGATGAGAATACCCCATCAGCCTTTTACGGCCAAGGGGTAAAAACTTTAGACTGCTCCCTTATTTCCCAGGGGGTTGGCACAGTGGATGGATGTGCGATTCTGTGCAGGGTTTATGCCGCATAACCTCCCTGATGCAACCTTCCCACTTACTTGTGACCCCCTGAGACTGGATTTGTGTCTCCTCCCAGAATCAAACTGGGATTTTTCACAAGTAGGGTGATATGGTACTGTAAAAAGTCTCACTGTATTCCTAAAGGTGGGATTAAGAGTCCTAAACTTTGATTAAATAAGTATGTGACACATTTAAATCTGACACACAGAATGGAAATAATTTGGGAATCTCCCTCTGGTGACGTGTAATGCTGTGTTCATATCAGCAACAATATCTTAAAGAGCCAAGGCCAGCTGTGTAACTCTTCATCATCATCTTTGAGCGTGTGTGTGTGTGTGTGTGTTAACATGGGAGCATGACAGGTTGATACTTCACTGGTTTGAGGCCTACTCAGCTTTGATCTGTCACACAGTCACAAATTGGTAGCCATGTAGTTGAAAGCACTGCTGTGTTTTCTACACGGCCTCTAATTAACAAGAGGAAGGAGATTTTTTTTCTTGGTGTTGTAGTCGATGTATTTTGCCAACCAACAAAATACATATGTGAAAGTGATGCTGCAACAACAGGTCAATAAACTGCAGCAAAGAAGGGATTAGATCAATCCAGATCCATTAACATGAGTCAGTGGCACTCGGGGGACATTTCTACAAGATGAGATGTTTTCTCAACCTTCAAAACACATTTTTAAAAGCTATTCTCCCAGCAGCCTGACAATCGTTTAGTTCATTCAACTCACCATTAAGCCATGATGTGGAGTACTCAGTCCTCAGCAGAGACTGGGTCGGGGAGTATCTGGATATAATCGGTTCACTGCCTAAGAAATTATAAGCTGTCCCTGAGTACAGCACTCCATCTGATAGGAAAACAGAGAATAAAACATCAGAAAATTATTTTCCTTCTCTAAAAAAACAAAACAAAACAAAGAGGATTGTTATGAATTTCACTGCAGCCATAACCAAAATAAGCACTTTATGAAATGAGATAAGAGAAGAGCTGGGCTCAACTCACCAGCCATGACAGTAGTAAAGCTTTGCGAGGGGTCAAAGGAGCACTTCCCTCTGCCGTCCTCGGGTTTACCGTGAAGTGAGAAGTTGCCAAAGTACTGAAAGAGGAGATTACTTATGAGATGAGGCGGCGGTGTTGATAAGTGAGTTTAAACAGTGAAGTAGGGCGTCTGGGTAAAGAGCGGTTGAAAATTAACCTACCAAGTAATCACACTGAGGCTGAAAGGCGTGTGTGCCGCAGACATACAGCCGCGTGTCATCTACTGCTTGGAGCACTCGAATGTAGTTTAGACACTCCCTCTGAAAGAAGAGGGAACAAAACAAAAGGAGAATTATGACCTTGTGGTTACAGTTCGCCCGTCTAGACTTAATGTTAGACATTTTCAAAATTAAATTACATAACTTCAGTTATTTAATTTTGTCTTTCAGAAATTTGTCTTTTTCTTTGTCATCAGAGTATGAATCTTTGAATCGTCACCAAACCAGTGTTTTGGGAGGTCACACTTATCTTTGGTTGCCAAATTCTAATCAGGTCATCCTGAAGGAAAAAGTCCCTTAAAGAGACGGACGGACAGAGCAGCATCCATGCATACATCCCAGCATGTAAGAGCTGTTAAACTAACCTCTTTTGATTTTCCTTTCAGCGTGCACATATTCATAGATTTTTCTGTAACTGGCCACTGAACCTTAAACAAACAGGAATAAAGTAAAAAAAATATTATAATCCAGATTATTTAAAACATCCCTCCACATGCATTACCATGAATCTTTTAAGATTTAACTACCTTCTTGTTTCTGACGCTCACATTCTTCTTGCTGAGCTCAAAGATGGCCTCCCTTGCTCCCACATACAGCGCATCCCTTTCTTCACTCAGCAGTAATGCGGAGTAGTTGAAGATGCCCGGCTCTGAAAACTCCATCAGATCTAAATCTAGCAGAAAAAAAAAAAAATCATCATATACCATTTTTTTACTTAATAATATCTGTATTTAACTGTAGTCAGAATTTAATTTACAGCTGATATGGCTGATATGTTGAAATGAGCATGTGTACAGTAGAAGTAGCTGCTTTGAGATATGGACCCACGCGCAGGCAAATAAATATTAACCAAGCCACAACAGTTTCAGCTTTCACATTCAGTCACAAGGGACAAAGTGCTAATACCCACTGTACACTGCTCTGTTTAAATTAGTGACTAGTAGGTGAACACGGTCGAGCATTAAGTAGCTGAAGAGCGAGACGTTTCTTTGACGGTGGAGCTAAACGGAGATCAAATGGACTTTTACTCATCGTGGACCCAGACACACGACTTTAGGTACATTGTTGCTGGACATGATCATTCTTTAAAACTGTCAGCGTTGTGTTTATGGTGTTTCTGTGGCCAAAAACACTTAAAAACAGCTTTAAGCTTCACTGCAATAAGCTCCTTATTTTGATTCTTGGGCTCTACTATAGTAGCTTTGCATGATTCACAGTGCAAACTAATCTTCGTTCAGTTTAAACTGTATTAGTGGAGCCTTTCAGTTCATCAACTATCTGAAACAAGTCGCTTTAAGCTCCTCCTTCTTTAGGCCAATTTTCTTCTGATTGGCTGCCCAATTCGAACAGCATGTGGCTGGCACTGCTGTGCTCACAGCCAGAACTGGTCATATTAAGCACAGATGGGATTTTATTGTCTTGGATCTTATGTGAAACCAAGCATTCATGAAGCAGTAAGTGAATAAAGCGAGGTTGTTTTCTCCCTGGCCTAATAGCTGAGAGGTTTGCTGGATGAGGACCTGGAGCAAAACAGTGCGCTGTCTATTTGCAGTTTATGCATCAGAAGGTGTTCAATTAATCAAA